TACAAATACTAACGTACCATGATGATGGAAATGCCAATACATTTACAGTGATCATGCTGAAGGTAATGGTGATGATGGTGACAGCGATGATGGTGATGGTAATGATGGCTATGGTGACAATAGTGATGGTAATGATGCTGACAGCGATGACGATGATGGCGGTGATGTTTATGGTTCACTACCTCGCACATCGGTGGGAGCTCAGGCATGTCAGTCCACACTTGGGATCCACACCCAGGCAGCAGCAATTCAAACACAGCCTGCAAATCCCTGCAGGAACAAATATACCCCCCTGTGTATACGTAAACGTCTTCCAGACTGCAGGAACTGCTGTTAACAAGCATATATATTAAGGGGCTCATTGTGCACGTGGTAAAGGCTAGGTACTGGTACCAGTACTATGTATGCCCAGCCACTTTGCATAGGCGCAAGACTACACTGCAGAAGGAACTCATTTTTGACGGAGCTGACCGTGAGTGCCCCGTGCAGGCTACGATACAAGTTGACTATTGGCATCTAGCGGTGGCCAGCTATTAGCTGGCCACCGCTAGATGAAGACCTCCCCATGCTGTCACCATACGTCAGTTCTATTTTGCCACTCTACTCGTACATGAATTGATCTCATTGCTCCATCTGCACAGTAGTTATCTTCTCAGGTGCATGGTCTCCTTTGCTATTGTCACCTGTCTTATCCATCGGTCATCATCCCTTCAAGCTATGTGTAATTGACAAGTCCATATCCTGTATAGATATGGGCTTGTGCACTCAAGTTTTTAGTGTACACTATATTGCCACATACAACATGTCTACAGTTAATCCATCTGGTGGTATGTTTCCTTCTTTAAATGGCTACTTATTCATGTGTGACACCTGGAACACTGACACAATGCACTCAAGGGCACCAACTGCGTATAAAACTAAAGTTAATACTGGTAGGAACCTCCTGGTTACACCAGCCCACCGGGGATTATTGTGTCCGTCCGTCCGTCGTGCATCCAAAAATGGGAGGGGTGGGGCTGGGTGGAGAGGGGAGGGTGGGGAGGGGCTGGGTGGGGAGGGTGGGGCTGGATTGGGGGTGGGAGGGATGGGGCTGGGTGGGGAGGGGAGGGTGGGGTGGGGAGGGGAGGGTGGGGTGGGGCTGGGTGGGGAGGGGAGGGTGGGGAGGGGCTGGGTGGGGAGGGTGGGGCTTGGTGGGGGGTGGGAGGGGTGGGGCTGGGTGGGGAGGGGCTGGTCACCCCGTGGTGCCCTTATAAAACTCAACGTTTAACCTACTCACGCCGGCTTGTGCCCGCCCTCACAGTCGGGCATATTTGTGGAACACACCACGTGGTGCCGCCGTGTGACCCTGGCCATTGACCGAGCAACCCGACGTTCCTACCAGCTCCCTCCGCAGAATGTGTTCGGTTTACTGTACAGTTCATGAGACACGACAGATGCGGGAGAATGCAGTGGAGGAAGTATGATTTGAACTGCACATCTTCGTCAGTGGTGGTGAAATATAGTTAGCTCACTGTGCTATGATAATGTACATGCCTTTGCGAATTCACGAACGCATCCCTCCACACGCTATCTTTTTTACCATACTTCCCACATACTCGTCAGCAGCGCGGGCAGTTCCATGGTGGTGGGCAGACACAGCTCGTAATTTATGTTTGTACCGTATGCTGAACATCTTTGGCACCGTACTTATGTAACCGTGGCCGGGAATCCAAAGCAACTTGTCAGATGGCTGGGTTCATACTGCAGTGCGCAAACCATCAACTACACCAGCTTGACACGTAAACTTTCGCGACAAATATTATTCGTAAAAAAACGTTGTTTTTTGGGTTGAAATGTGTCGGTAGCCCGCCAGCACCCGACACAGCCAATTAATAAAGGTTTGTCACGTACACAAAAACGTGCCAATTAGTTACTAATTCGGACACACCGGTGCGCTGGGGAGTAAACCCACCACCTCTAATTCTAAATACTGTACAGTCAGGCACAATAACAATAACAGAGCACTGAACTGTAACATGCTCACCCCGCGCTCTCCCCGTCGCGGCCTACACCTCCCTGCCCGTCCCGTCGCGCCTCGCTCGGTACGGAATCTAGCCGAGGGTCGGTGTCTTCGCGGGACGATGCCGTCAGACTGGAAGCGGCGTTGGCGTTGGCGGCGTTGTTGTCGACGACGTCCCCGAGTCGTGGAGACTTCTCCACCGAGGCTCTGTCGCTGCTGCCGGACGAGTTGCCGCCGTTGCTTTGAACTTTCCGTCGTTTCAGCGTCAACTTTGCCCGCTTGCCGTCCGCCATCCCTGGGCGAGGCTGCCCCCGCGGTCTCCTGCCCCCTTCCTGGTGCTCGCATTTCAGGAATATTTTTGTTAATGTTTTTTTTTGTTAATTCCTGGATTTTCTGTTTTGCACATGCACGTAGTCACTTTAAGATGTTTTTCTTGTTCGTGTTTTTGCTTTTTGTTTGTTTGTTGCGGTTGCACTCCGATTCAAGAGCCGAATGGCTCACAGGGGCTATACCAAAATAAATTAAACTGAACTGGCGGCGTCCATCGGGAAGGGGATCCCGGTCGGAAATCTCGGCCCGGGAATCCTTCAGTGGGGAACGTTAAACACTCTTTAAATTAATGTTGTTATATTTTTTATTTTCTTTAACCGTGTGAAGGCAGTGGGGTAGCAAGTCACCCCCAGGGGGGGTAGCAAGTCACCTCCAGGGGGGGGGGGGGTAGCAAGTCACCCCCAGGTGAGGTAGCAAGGCACCCCCAGGGGGGGTAGCAAGGCACCCCCCTGGGGGGGTGGGTAGCAAGTCACCTCCAGGTGAGGTAGCAAGTCACCTCCAGGTGAGGTAGCAAGTCACCCCCGGGGGGGGGGTAGCAAGGCACCCCCAAGGGGGGTAGCAAGGCACCCCCGGGGGGGGGGTAGCAAGTCACCTCCAGGTGAGGTAGCAAGTCACCCCCAGGTGAGGTAGCAAGTCACCCCCGGGGGGGGGGTAGCAAGTCACCCCCGGGGGGGGGGGTAGCAAGTCACCTCCAGGTGAGGTAGCAAGTCACCTCCAGGTGAGGTAGCAAGTCACCCCCGGGGGGGGGGGTAGCAAGGCACCCCCAAGGGGGTAGCAAGGCACCCCCAGGGGGGTAGCAAGGCACCCCCAGGGGGGTAGCAAGGCCCCTCCAGGTGAGGTAGCAAGTCACCCCCGGGGGGGGGGGTAGCAAGGCACCCCCAAGGGGGTAGCAAGGCACCCCCAGGGGGTAGCAAGGCACCCCCAAGGGGGTAGCAAGGCACCCCCAGGTGAGGTAGCAAGGTACCCCCGGGGGGGGGTAGCAAGGCACCCCTGCCCCCCCCCACCGCTGGCTACCCTATTGAGTGCATCTCACTGAGCTATACCGACCGGCTCATTCTCAGAAGCGACCTGCCCATCACAAACGATAGCTCAACGCGAAGTGGCTTTTCACCATTCGCGTGTATGGAAACGTCTAGCGGCCAAAGACTCTTAAAACGCACGTTTTGTTGATTCAACAATGTTGGAGGCGTGGGGGGTGGAGGGGGAAAGGCGCCGGACGAGTTGCTGTGGGGGTGGGGAGGGGACCCCCCCCCCCGGGGAGGGGAGGGAGGGGACCCCCCCCCCGGGGAGGGGAGGGAGGGGACCCCCCCCCCCGGGGAGGGGAGGGAGGGGGACCCCCCCCCGGGGAGGGGAGGGAGGGGACCCCCCCCCCGGGGAGGGAGGGGACCCCCCCCCGGGGAGGGGAGGGAGGGGACCCCCCCCCCCGGGGAGGGAGGGGACCCCCCCTGGGGAGGGGACCCCCCCGGTTTGCCCCCCCCCCCCGGTTCAACGTAACGGTGTCCGATGTAAAACTTCCGCTTCAGTTTGGAGGCGTCAGGACGAGCCTGGGGTCTACGCTTGTGTTGCATTATTACACAATGTTATTGTTGTTACACAATGCACCCTTTTATGCGTTGCACTGGGCGACACGTTGACGAGATGTCAAAGACCTTCGCCTGGTATGCTCAGGAGATCGTGTGGGTTCGAGCCCGACCCTGACGCTAAGGGGCCGTCCATAATTGACGTCACGCGATTTTGGACAATTTTTGACCCCCCCCCCCCACCGCTAGTCACACGACGTCACAAAAAGTCAGACCCCCCCCCCTCAAATATGACGTCACAAAGCTCTGCCCCCCCCCCCCCAAAAAAAAATATATAAAACATGCTTCTAATCGCTTTAAACTATTGTCATTGTAGTGCGTATTTAATGTGGCGCTGCACTCTGATGCTGTATGAGAACACATTTATTAAAAAGTCTATTTAATTAAGTAGAACGTGTTGTCTATATTTATTTAAAGTTACGCATTTTGATGTGACGTCACATTTCTCATCCCCCCCATCACATCGTCACAAATGTCTGACCCCCCCCCCAGGTGCGTGACGTCATTTATGGACGGCCCCAAACATGTAGAGTATTTGACTGCAATACATTTCCACGTGATAACCCACTTCGTTGTGGCCAGGTCGCTTCTGTAAAAAAGCTCAGTGGGCCTTAATTGGTCAAATGAAAAATAGGTTAACAGTTTAGTTTATACAATGCACATCTATGCATTCCATTACACTTTAATGTTGCACAATGCACACCTATGCATTTCACTGCGCTGTTACACATTAAACCTCTCCGCATTGCGGGGCATTCAGCCGCAACGTTACACAATGCAACCTCTATGCCTTGCATTGCACTGCAACGTTACACATCGCGCACCTATGCAATGCGCTATTACACATTGAACCTCTCCGCATTGCGTCGCATTCAGCTGCAACGTTACACATTACTCAGCTATGCATTGCACTGCAACGTTACACACGACGACTGCACTACTGGACGAACTTGCACATTGCACTGCAACACGTGGCCTGCGTCACGTGGTCTAACCCCCCCCCCCCTGCATCCCCGGAAACGCCCCCCCCCCCCGCTATCGTTGGGGTCTCCCGCTGCTATGGCAACTCGTCACGCCAAAGGAATTCACTTCTGGGGTCATGCGGACCCTACCAAGTAACCATTGGGATTTTGTATTATAAATATTTACGCCTACGTGGAAGGCTGTTCGAAACTAAATATATGTCTGTTATTACCATAATGAACATTTAATATATGTTACGTCAGCTACAGAAATATACCTCGTAAATTTCCGGAAATTATTTTATTTTTTAGAACTGAATTATAAAATCCCCCTATGTCGATAGTGGTTTGACCCAGCCTCTTGCTCAGTGAAAAACCGGTGGTTGTCCGAATAGCTGTTGTACTTGTTGCGTTAGTTGTTGTTTGGTTGTTGTTGCAGTTGTGGTTGATGTTGGTGTTGTATATGAGGCTGCTTTAGCGATGCAGGAGCCGGGGCGTGAAGAGGAGGATGATGAAGAGGACAAGGAGGTGATGATGATGATGATGTTTGGTGGTGGTTCAGTCGGTGTGTGTTGGCGGGAGATCGCAATTATAACGGAGATTTAAGACGCGCTCGTGGGTTCAATCTTAATCGTTCATCTGTAATATAAAGGTTAATACATTATTGATAACGTGTGTTTGAGTTGGGCAGCAGAGGGCAGTACAGCACAATAATTTGGTGTACTATACTATGCTCCCCGTCTTCAACAATCCGCGCTAACCAGCTTGGTGAAGTATGGTCAAATACCCCCCACGACCCTCAACGCCGTGAAGAGGCCCTCATCCAGCAGTGGATTGACGAAAAAGCTGTAGACGATTATAATTATTGACTTTCTTAATTATTATGGCGTACATTCCATTCAGCACTCGGTGGAAGGTTGTGTACAGGATAGTCCATTCATAGACTGGTTGCCATGGACTAGTATGAATGAACTGGTCTTTGCCACGTGAATGTGGAATTGGCAACGCAGGCTCTGGACCATGAGCGGAGATGAGAATTGCAACTTGGCTTATTTAAACTTGCAGTTACTTTAACTTGATTTTAATATCAACACGGTATTTATTTATTTTTCGTGGATCTAATGGTCTGCTGCCACAGAAATGTGGAATTTAAACCACTAGCTGGGGGTTGTGTACACAGTCGACGAGTATTGCTCCAGAGGCGCCACGGTGGCGAGATGTTAACTACCTCTCTTGGTGTACAGGAGGTCATGGGTTAGATCCCGACCCCCGTGGCTGACGTGTGCTGTATATTTGGAGTTTGCGGTGTCTCTCTCCCCGTGGTCGCGTGGATTTGTCTCCTGGTCCTCCGCTTTTTTTACCTTCACATTTAGAATCAACATCACACGTTTAGAGTATTTGGCTTTTTACACATTTCCACGTGATAAGCCACTTAGCTGGGCTATCATTTGTGGCCAGGTCGCTTCTGAAAAAGAGACATCCATTTACGACTGAGTGTAGCTGTCAGCAGGATCTCCCCTGGTGCGGAGTGTCTTATCTTGGGTGGCTCATAATGGCTGCCTGTGACCAATTTATTCCCACGTGTTCATAAAGCCTCACTGGCCAGCGTGATGAAGTATGGTCAAATAACCCCTATGATCCGCACAGTGTAGGCGGTGGGGGGAGGTGGAGGGCCTCTATCTGAAGTGGAGTGAGTACTTGTTGAGAATGGTTACTTGATTTTTAAAATTTCCATTCGGTTATTGAAGTTGTCACTTGGTTAAATAAAGTGATCACTCCTAATCGAGGTACCACTCGAAATGATAACACATGCAGGTAGCACTGCCAGCATCCACGTGGAACGAATGCATGTGGATTTTCCACTATTGGTTCAGAAGGTGACCAGCACTGCCCAATGCTGAGAATCTATAAATGCAGTGTGTGTGCGTGTGAATGTCCTATTTGAGTTTATTTTATTTGTTACACAGATGGTCCCGTTTAGCCAGGGAGATCCGTGGTTCGTGAGCAAAGCGAAAACAAAGATGAAATATGATTGCAGAGTACGAATACAGGGTCCTTAAGGGATATTTCACAACAAACGAGTGTAAGAGGTGCCAGAATAAAGGTTAGGTACAGGTGCAAGTATGCTCTTTGTTTAGCTTTAATAGGGAAATAAAGAGGGGGAGTGAAGTCAGAGAGCAGTAAGGGTATTCCATAAATGTGGAGCAGCAACGTGGGAAGAATGTTTTTTACTAAACAGTTTAAGAAAATTGAATTTTATTAGGAATAAGGAGGAACTTCTGAGGCTAAAAGGAGTTAGTGGAACTAAGTGGTCCCACAGGTAATTGGCGGATTTGTTTATGAGGACGTTTAGAATAAAGACAGCCCAGTGATGGTCTGTCCAGAAATCCAGGGGAAACAGATTTGAGTTAATGTATAAGTCACAATGATGAGTTATATAGGGGGCGTCAAGGGCAAAACAGAGAGTGGAGTGGTATAAATGAATGAGACGCTTAAGGTAGATTCAGAAGGTAGGCAATAGATGGTGTCTGGGTGTGTATGTTGTCTGTGGGGAGCGGTGTGCCACCAATTCGCGCACAAACTTGAGAAACTTGAGAAACTTGGGTTTGTTTTCTTTTTACGGTGAACATCAGTGGTACATTGGACCTGAACCTTTCCTGGGCCTCCCTTAGGTTGATTCAACTATAATTATCTTGCACGGTGCGTGAACATCAGCACTGCGAAGACAAAGGTGGCCGGGCGTGGTGCTGATAGAACCGCAACCTCATGGGTTGTGCCAGCCTTGATAATATCCGCGATATAGGTACACTTGACCCCACAGTCTGTTAAATGTATGTGGGGGATCTTTTTCTTTGTGACTGTGTGCAGGGGCAAGGGTGGCACCTGTACCGCCTTACCCTGCAGGAGCTGGAGAGGCTAAAACTGCAGCAGGCGAGCGACATGCAGGAGGTATGAATGTAGCATCACACAGCCTATTCTCTAATCAGAAAAAAGAAACACGAGGATCAGAGAACTTAAACAAGTTAGAGGCAGGATATATCGCTCAAAGGTATAACAGCGGGGTGTTTGAGACTAACAACGGACTGGCAGTTAAAGGGCAAAAAACAGAGACGGGAACTTGCCTGAGAGGATGTCCACTGTGGAGAAATGGAGTGATGAAATCATCTGTGTGCAGGAACTATATGTATTGTAACATTGCGAGACCGTGAGGGTTGGCAACGGCTTGGGAGGCCCCCTTTCAGCAGTGGTTATATTACAGCTGATGATGAATGCTTCTTACACTATTTATACGCAGGCTACTCAATGCACAGAACACTCGCCATCATACTCCTTAAAAAGTCAATGTGTCTCTTAGACGAGCTTGGGAGGTGGTGCCCATCTCCATTGGTGGCCCTGAGCAGTGTTATGTTCATGTGTTAGTATTTCCTTGTATTCATATCCCTGTGTGTTGGTGTATCTATCACCCTGTGTATTAATTTGCCCATGTCCACGTGTGTTCGTGTGTCTGTGTCCCTATGTGGCCGCATGCAGGTGGAGCGATATGTTGACCACGTGCGCTCCCTCACAGAAGACCGGGAGATGGGACTGGAGGCCGAGAATGAAACTCTTAAGCAGGAACTGGAGGCCATGCACGCACAGATGGGTGCGTGTGTTTGTGCGTGTGTGTTGTATGTATGTTTAACATATTTTGCACCGTGCGTAGCGAACCATGCTGATCAGAGGTGTTGGGACAGAGGAGAGCACAGGTGGTGCATTGGCCAGTCATTTAAATCCTAACATCTGGATCTGTCACATGACCTGGCAACGAGCCTTCAACGCTAGCCTGGCATAAGCATCATGGCCACATCACCGCCACTTAGTGGCAAATGGTAGCTGTTGTCGTTGTGTATATGCACGGCATAAGTGAGATCCAATGGTTAGTACACTGTTCTACAATATCAATAACCTGAGTTTGATTCCTGACTGAATGTAACATCAATAGCACATTCTCTTGTTTGATTCAATCTTAAATTAATACACGGCACAATGTGTGAGGTCACTGGAGATGCAAAGGTGGCTGAGAATGTTGCTGGCCACATGCTATCCGTATCTAACAGAATTATCTTTACACTTTTTAGGGCTACTCAAATGCTGTGAGATGATTGACTCATCCTGGACTAAAAAAATAAAACATGAGATAACATTTGTTTCTGTTGCTAATCTCTGAAAATTAAAATATTAGTTTGACTGTCATGACAAACATATAGCAGGGTAAGTGCTGCCTGCTACTGTGTGAAACAGAGGTCACTTGTATGACTCTCAAGAGATAGTTATTCGCTATCGACTTCTGTGGGGCATTCTCCAATTGGAAGGGTAACACTCTTACGAGAGAGATCTGAACAGATGCTTCATCTTGTGACATGATGTGCGTGTGCATAAGCAGACACTGAACGCAAGGAGATAGTGGAGCTGTTGAGAAGACAGGGCATGGAAGAGATTATTGGGGCCTCTGCCAGCGAGCAGGTGGCCTTTCTTCTCGTCGAGAGAGCTTGTCTGCTGGTAATCGTCATCACCACTGTCATTGATATCATTCGGTTATCACTATCACCCTCTGCTTCAGACTCATTACAGTTGTCATGTACATTTAGAACCATTTTGTCAATCGATTGCTGGATCAGGGTCTCCCCCTACCGTGTCGGTAGTGGGGGTCATTTGACCATACTTCACAATGCTAGTCAGTGCAGGTTAAAGGTGGGAAGAATAGATGCAGAAGCTTAGGAGTACAATCCAACAATTTTGTTGCATTGCCGTCTGCTGCCCACAACACGGAATCATCATCACCATGATTATTGCTCACTTCATATGACCATCACTCTCCATTAATCACTAGCATGATGGTCTTTGTGTGATCCATCAACCCTGCCTACATATTTTTCTGGATTACAAGCGATCGCCACCAAGCCCGGTGTGTACGCATTTGTGCATGCCTGTGTGTGTTTTGTGAGCATGTGTTTTTTGTGCCTCTGCGTGCACTTGATTGTATGCTTGCCTTTGTTTTTTTTTGTGCATGTGTATGTGTTCTTGTGCGTGCCTTTGGTTGCATGTCTGTGCTTGCGTGTGTGTGTTCTGTTGGTCATTTTGTGTATATTTTTCATGCCTTCATGTGCATGTGTGCCGACATCTTTATGCGCATACATACTTGGTTGTGCACCACGTGTGTGTCTGTATCTTTATATAGGTGGCCGGTGATGGTGTTGACCACCCCACTCCCAAATCGGTACTTGCTAACTTTCCCCAACAGTCGATGAGAGGCTCTATGGGGGACCTTTGTCGTTGTGTGTGTGTGTGTGTGGAGAGCGATATTGTTGTGGATAGTGCACTACTCTATTAACCCAGTGAGCCAAATTTAATTTCCGCTCACAGCCAACATCAATAATGAATATCTGAACTGGTACTGGGCCTCCCCTAGGTCAATTCAGCCTTAAATTAATACCTGGTGCAGTGTGTATTCATCATCAGCACTGGGGAGACAAAGACGGCCGTGCGTGGTGCTGGCCAACCACTCCCTCGTGTGCAGTTCCGGACAAAATACGTGTCTGCTAACAGCACTTACCCCAACAGCCTATTAAAGGCTATACGGGGGATTTTGTCTGTGTGTGTGTGTATATATGCGTTTGTGTGCCTCTCTCTTTGCAGCTTAAGTCCCAGCATGAGGTGTTGGGTTGCTCCTGGAAGACGCCACCGCAGACCTCAGAGATAATGACACTCGGTGACAAAGTGGAAAAATACAAAAACCTCTACCACAAGGCAGAGGTACTAACGCAGCATAAACGGTCACTGTCAGCAAATTGCAAATGTGTAAGGTTGCAAAACATGGTCTCCCTTACAGGAACACACAGGGTTAATGCATTCAGTATGAATGTAGGTTAGATCATGTAAGGTGCTCATAGATACTATAACTAGAGTCCTATTAGTGGTCTTCCTGGGCAGACTAGGCTGCATTGGCTGGTCATGTAGCGTGCATGACAAGCCAGTTTTGTCTGGCTAGAGGGCGCTATATAAATGGAGCTTGGGCTAGAAAATAAATCGGCTAATGGGAAGGTACAGGAGGACCTGGAGCTGAGTGGACTTGCCAAGGACTGGTACCAGAAGCTCATGATCAGCTTGTGTGTGTAGGATACTTTTGAAAGATGATAATAGGTAGTTGATGGCAGCTCTCCTCCAATTAATGCAAAAGAATTGAGGTGCGATGCTTATAACAACGAGCAGAAAATTGGACAGATAAAACACAGTGAGTTGGCACGGGTGGTGCACCTGCCAGTTGCCCCCATAGGTCAACCATGAACTCATGGGCCCATAATCAAATCACCCAGAATCCACCTGATTTTGGCAGATCTCGACAGCCGAGTAGGTTTGAGCCTGGTTAGTGCTTGCTTGGGTGACCATTCACAAAACACGTCATGTGGGTGTGGAGCTACCTTGTGGGCAATGTAGAAATATTATTTGTTTTACTGTGTTTCTATGCTTCCATGTGTATGCTCCTTGCCTCCACAAACCTGTACTTCCCAGTATGGTGAAGAATGGTAAAATAAAAACACACAATTTGCACATGTGTGCGGAGGCCCTCATCCAACAGTGAATTGACAAAGGGGTCGTACAAGTAAATGCGATTACATGGGCCTCTTCCGTGATCTGCCAGTGAGTCTTCGTCACTCCACGTGACCTCAAAGTGCACAGAGCTTGGCAGTAAGTGTCGCGGTGACGTTACCGCCACTCGGCGGTGAATCGTTCCCGTGGCTGCTTGTGTGTGTGCGTGTGCTGCACTGGTGGGCATGCAGAAATCTCGGCAGCTGCTGTCGGATGAGAGGAGCGCGCTCACGCTGAGGCTGCAGCTGCAGGAACAGGAGCTGGAGATGCTCAACAGCAACAGCAGCAGCAACGGCAGCCACCCTCACAAACGGTGTACCCTCGTCAGTGTTTTCCATGCATGCGTGTGCGTGAACTGGGCCTTCTCTCTCTAAAGCAAGTCAAACTTAAGTGAGCTCCTATTGTGGTCTGGGGTTATCAACAATGGGGAAAAACAAATGTATCTGGACAAGCTTTGTGCTGAAGTCACCACCCCTTTGTGGGCCATGCCAGTGATCTTTATTGAAGTCACGAACATTTGACAGGCGACGACCCCGACTCCAGCAGCCCCAAGCCTCTCGTCTCGACCCCTTTTGTCCTGTGCGTGGCCACCCCTTTACCCGTGGCCACGCCCCCTCTCTACCTGCTCCCTTCTGTCACTTGGCCACATCCCTATTCTCGATCCTTCCCTTAGACCCCAGATCATTCACCCTGTCTTGTCCATTAACCTGTCATTACCCTTGGTGGCCCCTAGTCTCTTCCCATGCTAATTCTCATGTCATTACCCCTTGTGGCCGCTACTCCCCTGTACTCTCTTCACATATGCAAAGATACACGTGGGCCCTTGTTTACTTAATTTATCCAAATAGGTGGTCCTGTTTGTTACAGTGTGATGCTTTAAATCAAAATCTTGACAGTTCAAGTCCTAGTCGACTCAGCCCTTCATCCTCTCGTGATCAATAAAATACATGCCATGTTTTTTTTAATGTCAAACAGCGGTTACTGAGCACAGGCCTTAAAGGCCAAAAGCGCCAAGTAGCCAGCAACAAACTGCACTATTGAGGGTGTAATAGATACGATGCTTGAATTGAGCAATATTACAAGAACTTGACTAATTTTTAATTTAGGCTAATGGAGTCAAGAAGACTTTACAAATGAGACACGACAATACAAATGAGATAGAACTAGACCAAAGAAATAAAAATGTTTTTTAAAATCTCAACTCGAAATTGCAACTTTAGTTTGCCCTGCCAGAAGAATGTGGAATTCCCACTCCTGGCTCAGGTCAATATACAGAAGATGACCATTCTTCATGTGGTGAGTGTGTGTTTGTGGTTTTGATGTAATGTATTTAAATCAAAGCAATGCATGTGTAGTGTCGTAGGTCTCTTCTTCCTTCTTGCTCAAGGCTTGTGTGTGCGTGCGGGTGGCATGCGTCGCACACACACTCAGTTGGAGACGAGGTTGTTGTTGAGTTCACGCCACCAACTCGGGCCCCCTCTCTCTCACGACCACGCTGCCGCACGACCCGGCCCAGACACGACCCTGTCCGCGTTGCACCGACGGCGTCGACCGAGGCAGCCAACTGCTGTTCGGCGATGACAGCAGTGACGAAGGCGGCGATGACGACAGCGACGATGAGACGAGTCCACTCCCAGAACCGGCAGCCTGGATCTCTCGCTCTCTGCTGCTTTTATTCCCCTCGGCGTGGCTTGGCTCCGCCCTAGCCGCGCCTCCCTTCTCGAATCCACCAGAGGGTTCCAGGGGCTTCCCCACGAGGCCTACCTTGACCCTTGCTCCAGTTTCTCCGCCCTGCGGCACACCCACATATATGCTCAACGGTGTGTGCACTAAGTGCCCACCTGCAGTTGCAGCTGCTGTACAGCAATCAGCGCTATGTCACTACACATGTAACAAATACCATGTCATATTTGGAATATTACAGGATGCATTCTTATCATAAGCATCGAGATGGTGGCCCCATGTATTCGTGTTCTTCTGTCAAATGCTTGCGGTCAACTTTTGCTCAATAGGAGACTTTACCGTCTCTCTTTGGCTGCCATTCCATCACCGGTTTCATCCATCGGCCATCATCCCTTATAGCGCTGTGTCCTGGTTGCCAGGCAACCCCTATCCTGAACACGCCGCCACGCTGAGTGCAGTCCAAGACCCATGATGTTTGATATCGGCCTCAACCGTGGTCTGCCCCGAGGTCGGCTCTAGTTCCTCGGTCGGCTGATGATGATGGCGCACGCAGTGCTTTTGTATGATCAGCTCAGGCGTCCGCCCGGGGCAGCGTGTGTCCGAAGAGGTGAAGTCTTCTGACCCTGACCATTTCAGTCGCTGCCAGAGGAGATACTTTTTGATACTGGACCTCAGCGTTGGTGATGCGCTCGCTGAAGTGGATGCGGAGTATCCATCGCAGACACCACCGGTCGAATGTATCCACAGAGAGTAGCTGCCATTGACCACAGCTCTGAGCCATACAACAGTACGGACAGGATTTACGCGTTGTAGAGGTGGGGTTTTTGTTGCTGTTGTAATGCTGGAGCGCCAGATGTATCTGTAGAGCTGTTTCATGGAGTCGCGTGCTGCCCGTATGTTGCAGTTAATATGATGTCTCTAATTTGTGTCTGTTCCCTGATTCATGTCTTCCCCTTTCTGTCTCGGTATAATTACAAGCATGCATCTCTCCATTGCTTCTTTCCGTACTTTTCATGATTTAGTTTTATTGTCTTTGTTAGTTTTCATGTGTTTTGATCCTTATGTTATAACAGGCAACATGCCCCATGCCCGTATTGGAAACATTCTTCTCCAGGTAGTATATTAAAACTATATATATCTCTGAGCGTAAGGTGTTGTGAGTGTTGTCATGGTGAGAGTTAGCTCTGATGGCACTTTAACACATAGGCTTTTACGACCATTATTCATAATAAAGGTTATTTTGGTTAGATCACGTAAATATAAATGTGTCGTTAACCCACCACCATCTGACACAGCCAATTAGTAAAGTCTGTGTTGGCTGGTGAACACAATTCAGGCAAATCGTCTGATGAAGCTGGTAGTAATCACCAGCCAAATGTCGTACTCAAATTGCAAATGTTGTGGGTTTACTCTCCAACACACCGGTGTGCTGAAGTAGTAACTAATTGGCACGTTTTGGTCACGTCGAGGGGGTTTTCGTCCTCCCTGCAGCTGTCATGCGCAGATCGAGGAGCTCCACCGGCAGAACGCGGAGCTGGCGCGGAAGCTACGCAGTGCCGAGGTGTCGCGTGAGGAGCTGGGCGAGCGCAACGAGGAGGTCGAGGCGCTGCTGGCTGAGCTGCAGGCGCGCGAGCGAGACGGGGAGAGGCATGGCGATGGGGAAGACAGCAACAGCACCAGGGAGGACAGTGACAGCTCCGGGGAAGATGGGGACAGCGGCAGGGAGGGCGGCGCCCCCGTGGTGGCACGAGAGGCAAAAGAGGAGGGAGTCAACGTGGGAGAAGAGAGGGAGGCGGAGACGGAGGCGGAGACGGAGGTGGAGGAGAAGTCTCAGCTGCTGCAGAAGGAGGTGAGTTGTTTTATGTTGAGTGAGACTTTCACTCCTGCATCCACAGTGCCTGGGTCTGTCTCGTACGTGCATGTGTGTTTTTGTACGCGTACATGTATGTGTATGAGTGCGGCAGTACAGTGGTTACCTCCCTGCGCTATGAACCTGGCGAACCGAGTTCGATTCTCACTCATGACCAATAACTTTGGCGAATATTTGAATCAGTTCTGGGCCTCCCCTAGGTCGACTCAGCCTTAAATGAGTACCTGTTTCGGTTCGTAAACATCAGTACTGGGGAGACAAAGGCGGCTGGGAGTGGTGTAGGTCATCCACTCCCTCGTATGCCGTGCTGGCCTTCATAGGTGCTCGCGAACAACACTAGCCTTTCAGATGCGCTTCTGCAAACCTTTTAAATATGGAAGCCACTGGAGCTATGCACTTTTAAATCTGGATTGAAAGTAATTTCTTTAGAACTGCCTTTTGTGTTCTGTTTGTTATCCTACCCACGCACCTCCAATTAGCACGGCTGGCTATGTACGGTGAGAAAGAAGTTCAACAACATACATACGTACAGCTCCAACTGTCTGTTAAAGGCTACACGGGGGGGATCTTTGTCTCTGTGTGCGCGCGCGTACTCAGCTACTGGGCGCGTGCACACGCCGTGTGCTCACACACCCGTCCGTGCTGGCCGAGCGCCTCTCGGTGGTGGAGGGCGAGAGGGACGCGCTCAACATGACCGTGCGGCAGCTGCAGATGCAGAACACGCAGCTCCTGGACAAGGTGGGGCACAAACACGCTAGCTCACACCACCCACAAGAGCGACAGCAGCAGCCATGTGTTACTGAGTGGCGACGATGCCGCCACAGCTCTAGCGCCAGGCTAGGTGCACTTTGAGGCCAAGTGTAGTTGTCAAAGGCTCGCTGGCAGTAGTTCACCGGACACTGACTGAGATCAGTTTAACATGTAGGCTTTCGCGACCAATATTATTCATAATAAAGGTTTTTGGGTTAGATCGCGTTTATTTATAAATGTGTCGTAACCCTCCACCACCCGACACGGCCAATCAGCAAAAAAAAAAGTGTCACGTTGACAAAAGACAAATAATTCACTACTTCAGCCCACCGGTGTGTTGAAGAGTTAATCCACATTTACAGTTTGAGTACGACGTTTCGCTGGTAAATACATCCAGCGTCATCTGGATGTATTTACCAGTATTTACCAGCGTGGATTAACTCTTCAACACACCGGTGGGCTGAAGTAGTGAATTATTTGTCTTTTGTCAACGTGACACTTTTTTTTTGCTGATTGGCCGTGTCGGGTGGTGGAGGGTTACGACACATTTATAAATAAACGCGATCTAACCCAAAAACCTTTATTATGAACTGACTGAGATGACTAGCAGATGTACTCCCGTGGTGCCTGTTGTGCCAGCTTGCTGTACTGTGTCATTCAAAATAATAAGTAGATGCCTCCGTCTGCTCAGTAGCGTCCTTCATGAAGCACCCCACATAGGCTAATCTTGACACTGCTAATTCCATTCATTGGCAAGTCCACTCTTCTCCAGTCCCACATACCACACCACCCCATCTCTTCTCTAGCCCATGCCATTTTAGCCCCCTTTATCTGTCCAAAGAGCAGCCACTTGAGCATGTGGTGGGTGAGCATGCGGGCTACATGACCCAGCTAATGAATTATCGCTGTTGGAGGACTTTACTGATGGGACCGTGTCCAGCTCTGGCAAGGATCTCCGAGCTCCTCGTGTAGCCCAGTTTGTTTTAAAATAATCCAGTTTGGTTCCTGCAACCTTTGTGGCCTTTGAGCCCTAGCAGAGTCAACCCCACTGTGCTTCACGCTGTTTGGATTGAGGGGTTCCCTCTCCTACAAAACATCAATTCTGCAGACATGATATTTGAAGTCACCATCACTGCCCTTAGGGATGGAAATTGGGTGGTGCTGCAAACTATTTTTTATGCATTTCTAGATTAATTTGTGACCATCTCAGCAATTGGCGACCACCACTCATCCTTGTAGTGCTGAACGGCTCGCCAAACCTCCAAGCGTAGGCTGCCTCCTCAGCCTTGTTTGTGGGATACTGTAGACCAGCGGTCCATAGATCACTGGTGGTTTACAAGGCCATGGGAAATGGTCCACAAATCTGTGGTAGATACACATCTTTTCACAAAACACCATGTGGTCCATGAACAATTTTTGAGGGTTGGCAAGTGATCCATGGGTTCAGATGGTGAGAATGGGCCCACCACTTTCTCTCAGCTGGAACAGCTCGGGCTTTAGGGAAATGTGAACTGGGTACACAGCAGAGCCATAGTTCTGAAAGTTACCAATGCTCTGTGAGCCCAGCAAGAGGTGGGGAAGATGCCACCTAACTGCAAATAATGGTACAATTTTCGCCTGCTTTAAACTTTAAACAGCTGACTGAGAGCAAGCTAATATGGGTTTGAATGGGGTCCAAGGTGGACGCCCACCTCCAGCATAGATGTAGGGCAGGCGCATCTTACAGACGACAATCCGATCGTCAGTGGACAGATCAGTAGAGCTGAGCTAATCTGAATTAGAGATGCAAAAGACAAAGGTCCCCCGTATAGCTCAGATTGTTGAGGCAAGTGCTGTTAGCGAGCACCTATGAAGGCCAGCATGGCACATGAGGGGTGGGTGGCCAACACCATGCCTGGCCACTTTTTTCTCCCAAGTGGCAATGTTTACACACCGCACCAGGTACTCATTTGAGGCTGAGTCGACCTAGGGGAGGCCCGGGACTGGTTCAGATAATGATCACTGGTGTTGGCCGTGAGCGGGAATCGAACTCGGGTCGCCGGGTTTGTAGCGCAGCGCGAAAACCGCTACACTATCGCTCCCTGCTACTTAGAAATGCACACACACAATCACATACGCACACAGACATATACATGAATACATGCAGTTATAAACACACAAAGAAATACATGTACCAACAGACACACTCACATATACACCAATAAAGAGAAAGATAGCCTTAACAGACTTTTGGGGTTAAAATATTCGGCACGGTTATTTGCTCGTGAGCGGGGATTGAACTCGGGTCGTCGGGTTTGTAGCGCAGTCCAGTAACCACTGCGCGACTGCTCCACACCACGATACAGACACACGCACACAGACACACACACGTGCGCGTGCGCTATTGTCGTGTTGACCGGTGTCACCGAAACCGCCGGCACCGGCGCAGGCGGCGGAGTCCGAGCGGCAGTGGGAGGAGCGGCTGCTACGAGGGGAGCAGGAGGCAGAGCGGCAGCACGGGCGCGTGGAGAGCCTACAGCGCCAGCTCGAGAGTCAGCACGAGGAGATGCATGGCACCGCAGGGCACACGCGTGCTGGAGACGCAGAACAAGTGGCACAGGTGAACGCAAGATGAGACAAAGATCCCCCGCATAGCCCTGAACAGACGACCCTCACCCAGCACGTGCAGCACAGACGTCACCACGACGCTTGTGCCAGGCCATGTGCACCTTGAGGTCACGTGAAGTGTCGAACGCCCGCTGGCAGGAGGTCACGGGGCAGACCCAGGTGCCACGGTCGACTGACACACCGATACACACACACAACAACAGAAAATGCCGATACACTTACCTCCTTTACTCCAGGCCCTTGGTGCACAAGGAGGTGGGTGACCAGCAACACGCCCGACTACCTTTGTCTCCCCAGTGGCGATGTTTACACACAGCATCAAGTACTCCTTTGAGGCTTAGTCGATTTAAAGGAGGCCCAGGACTGGTTCAGCTAATTGTCACTGGTGTTGGTGGTTGTGAACGGGAATGGAATTCGGGTCACCGGATTTGTAGGGCAGCGTGCTAACTGCTGCGCCACCGCTCCTCAGAGCTGGAGAACCTGCATGAGGAGCTATATAGCGAACCCAAGTATGTTGTTGACACTTTACACTTCATCCGTGTGGCAAATGGACCAGCAGTTGTGGTTATTTTTATAGTTTTGTATTTGCGTTTGTGGTTTGACAGGGTTTTTCAATACAAGTGTAACATTGATTGTATAATAATGGTTTTGTTGTCACTGTGATCACCACTTTATTGCGTTGTGACCGATAGAGGTTGCATTGTTGAATTGTGAAGTCACATGATTGTGACTTTACTGTACGGTAAAACCTCTCGAAACCAGATTCAAGTTGATTAGAATTTGAAGTAAGCCTGTAAAAGCTAGGTTGTGTATAATAACTAAATAACTATAAATAAAATAACATACAAAATAAATAAGTAATAACTTCACTCAGAACACCGTTTACACGCTAATTACATTGCTCATAGTGGGCGATTATGTGCGTATGTGCACTAGCAATTCTAAAGCTATGCGTTGTACTTGTCTGTTGCATGTAATTGTGCAAACCTTTTTGGCACCATGCTCATCCGACACGCTCTATTAGTGCTCACTCTATTTTTTTTACATTTGTTCAATTTTTGTCCTATGAATAATCAAGATTATATCTAATTATTGAAGGCCATCAGGATATCTGTGCAGTCTTCCATATATTTCCATGGTCAACGTCTGCACATGGTGGTGGATAAGTGACTGGGATTAAACTATAATTAAAATGTGTATTTTACTTATTTTCAGTTTTCTGGACATCCCCTGTAACTGTCGAAGCTCTGCCCCAAATTAGTCTGGCTTTGGTACGTTTTGCCATATCGTTACTGCCATCGTGAGTATTGTCCTACCGTTGATGTAGTCGTGCCTCGTGTTGTATTCCCACTGCTGTCCCGTTGAAGGTGTCTGCCCTGGAGAAGGAGCTGAGTAAGCTGCGCTTGGAACTGCAGGAGCACAAGCTGCAGTGGCACCACCAGCAGCTGCAGCTGCAGGCGGAGCTGCAGCAGGGACACGCGCGTCGCACGGTAACGCACACTCCATCCGGACCGAGCGAGGTCCTTGCAGAGATTAAGATCAAGATGTCATCATGGCTAAAGTCGCTGATGCTGCCATGCCTCGCCAACGCATTCTACCCTCCACCATGCATCTGACCTCCAACACTTCCAACCTCTGCCCTAACAGGATCCCCCCGTTTGGTCTGAATGTTTCCTCTTGGTTACCAAACTTGTCAGGACTATTCCATTGCCTCTTTCTGTAATTGGCCTCCTCCCTCATGCTGCACAAAAGTCCTACTATGCGCAAGCTCAAATCATATCTACATCACTCACCTGCCATGTTCCATTTGCTTAAAACGACGAATGGACTGTAAGTAAAGTGGTTGCGACAGGAGAAGAGGCACAAAGGAAAAGTGCGTGGGGAAAGAATATCCCAAGCAGCCAAGCCCAGGCAATGATGGTACCTTTACCTGAGAAGGAGATGAGAGCATCTATATGTCATCGCAGCTCCATTTAAACTGTTAAACACTTTTTGTTACAAGATAAGGCCCACTGAGTTATATATATATATGTGTTTTAAGAAGTCACCTGGCCACAAATGACAGCTCAATGAAATGTCTTATAATGTGGAAATGTATGGCAACAAAATACTCGAAACGCATGTTTCTAAATGTGGAGGGGAAAACCAGAGGACCCTGAGAAAAATCCACGCAACCATGGGGAGAACATGAAACTCCAGATATACTGGCCTCAGGGTCGGGATCGAATCCACGACCTCCTGTATACCAGGCGAGGTAGATAACATCTCGCCACCGTGGCGCCTCTATAAAGTCAATATGCCCACTGTTTCCGTACACAGCACGCCGTACAGAAACAAAATCTTCAACTATAATAAGTCAAATTTTTATGTAATGCTTTCGTGACTGCAGGGATTCATATTCTTGATTCTTTCGGTAAAGTCACCACGTAGAAGGGAAACAATAAAATAATAAAAATATAAAACAATAAAATTCTCACGACGTTTCGACTGCAACACAAGCAATCATCATCAGGTGTGAAAGCCGAAAGAACCAAGAATATAATAAGTCAGTCAATTACTTTAATTGCTCTCTCCTCTCTGCCCTGATATGGGCCAGATTTATTTTATAGAGAGAGGCAGTCAGTCACAAAGGTAAAAAAAGGAATGTCTTGGACCTGAACAGGGGCCAGGGAGTCGACAGCAGGGATGGCTGGGAGAAAACGAGTGGCAGACTATGGAGACCATGAAGTCCCTTGTGCTGACTTGTAGTGGAGCCATGGTTACGATGATGAATTTAAACGATAAGGAACTGCACCGATCAAAGCTTTCCACATTTGTCATGAACACTGCTATATAATATAAACGTGTATCATAGACTAAAGTTTCACAGATTGGCCTGTATCAGGGTAGAGAGAGGGTAAAGCAATTGAAGTGATTGACTGACTTATTATAGTTGCAGATGTTACATTATACTGTTGTGCTTGAAAATAAATATTGAAGAAAGTAGATATGTGAACAGTGTTGAAATTACATGGGCAGTTTTCCATCAACAGATACTGGTTATTAGACATGCACAGCCAAAAGACGAACACATTAAGTGGTCTCAATTAACAATGTGCTTTTGTTTGAGACAGCAAAACTCCAGCATAGGAAGTGGACTATTTAAATGACTGGCCTAGGAGTGGAGAAATATAATTACATGCAGCCATTGTTACATGAAATATGTTACATTTCCTGACATAAGACCATTGTCACTATGTATGTATGTATGTTGAACTTATTTCGCACAGCACTGGCTCATTTGTGAACAAAGAGCGGGTTATGAAAATTATAATTTTACAACCACATGAGATGAGCTAGAGAAAAGTGTGATAGGTAAAGGGTAGGATCTGGGGTTGAGCGGACTTGTTGCTAGTTGGTCTAGCCAGACATGGGCAAAGTACGGCCCCCGGGCCCTATACGGCCCGTTGGGCTTTTTAATCCAGCCCGCCGAACTTGTCCAAATATTATTATTAATTAAAATTTTACCTTTCTCCTGTAATGCCCCCATTTCCCTATTAGATGGCGCACTTTGACCGGGAGTTACGACATGTTTTTGTATTCATGTTCGTGCAATTTGTTAAATTGCCTTGCAAATACATGCTTTGCTGCCTGTTAAAGGCCAAATCCTTTCATGTAATGATTTTTACATGTCATTTATATTAGTTCACACAAACACTCCATCCATCTGTTCCTGGCCCGGCCCCTCTGTCAAATTTTAGAACCCATTGTGGCCCGCGAACCAAAAAAATTGCCCACCCCTGGTCTAAGCGGTGCATGAAACAGCCTATATGGAGGAGGCTCATGTTAGGTTCTACGGGGCCTCTGGTGTATTGAGGAGATAGGTAAAGGTGCAGCCCTCCAATGTCTTCCTCACGCCTCTATTGGTGGAAGGATTTCCTCTAGAGGGCGCTCGAGAGAGCACGTCTCGAGCTTATTGCGGCTGACTCTTCTACAATAGCCGTACATCTTGGAAGAAGAGGGAGTATCTACACTTTACACCACACGTGACGTGCCAACCAACGAACTGGTGTACCCATTTATATTTTTGGGTGGATAGAGGCAGTGGGATTTCAGAAACTTGCCTCACTCGGAGATCGACTTAGCGAGTTTCGGATTCCAAGTCCAGTGTGCTAACCATTACACCACGGTAGATTAAACAAAGCAAATTTAAAATGTTTTTGTTTAGTTCGCACGATTACCGTATTTTTCCGCATAGCCCGCATACGCATATACCCCGCAAAAATAGCTTTTTGTGTAAAACAAATTTCAGATAGCCCGCACCTCCATATACCCCACATGCATTCATATCTTTAACGTCGTTACCGCAGCCTAATTCCATCATGTTAATACGAAGTTTACATTTGTAATACATTCCACTATCAATTGCACAAATAAAATAAACTAATCGGAAACGAGTGAACTTAAAACAGTAAATAAGTAACAAAATTAAATATACAATAAATAAGTAACACATAACTGGTAGATAAGTAGTTTTAGCACTGGTAGAGTGCGCACTGCCAGATAATAGCGGCACTAATAGCGGCACTACGGTAACGCCATTGCCTCCCCCCCAACCCCCCCACCTTTCTCCTTTCCAGCTGCCCCACCCCGCAATCCCCACCTCTCTCTCCCCCCAGCTGCCCCAACCCCCACCTCTCTCTCCCCCAAGCTGCCCCAACCCCCACCTCTCTCTCCCCCCAGCTGCCCCAACCCCCAACCCCCACCTCTCTCCCCCCAGCTGCCCCAACCCCCACCTCTCTCTCCCCCCAGCTGCCCCATCCCCCAACCCCCACCTCTCTCTTCCCCCAGCTGCCCCACCCCCCAACCCCCACCTCTCTCCCCCCAGCTACACCAACCCCCACCTCTCTCCCCCAGCTGCCCCCCCCACCTCTCTCTCCCCCCAGCTCTCCCGTCGCTGGTAAACAGTGCGCACACTTAAAACATTGTCGTTTAATTGTACAAACAATTAATTTAAAACGTGATAACGCGTGCAATTTTAGTGTGAGTGGTTTATTTAGCAGTGCTTTAGTCAACGCTAAGTGTTGCATAGTGGATAGTCCTACCATAAAATAATTAAACGAGTCATGACATGTCACACGTGTAAAATATTTTTTGGGATAGCCCGCACCTCCATATACCCCGCAGGGTCTTGTTTTGTTTGTAAAAAGTGGTATACCCGCGGGTTATATGCGGGAAAATACGGTACTGGTCACTCCAGCATGCTAAGTTATTGCAGCGCAGTCTCTACTATTCGTGATCTTTCATCTCTTCACTCACAGGAACTGGCTCGGTTTACCCATGACCTCGTGTCAGTGCACCTTCCAATGAGGCTCCATTTGGTGGTGAATGACGGATGCTGAAGTTGTTATTGCATGTCTAGTTATATGTGTTCGCGTGTGTGCATGCGTGTGCATGTCAGATGCTGAAGGAGAGGGTCAGGAATCAGGAGGAGGAGCTGAAGGAGCTAAGGCTTCGTCTTGTGGAACGGGAAGACAGATCAGCTGTGCAGAAGAAACCAAATCAAGACAGCCCACCTGACCAATCAAAACTGCAAGACGCACCTGATCAGCTTCTCTCCCAGGTGTGTGTGTGTGCTGCAACTTATTACATCTGTCCATGTGTATATAAATCACGTGTGCACATGTACACGTACAGCCCCTTGCCACTCAACTGCTGGGTGAAGGCCTCCCCACGTACCGTGCAGGTACTGGGGATTTATTTTTCAACCCCGTCAACTAGGCGCATCTTTTCTCTTCTATTTCCTGTTCTGTGTTCTTTTGTGTGGAACGCCACGTGTGGTATCCATTCCGGATCCATTATAAACACGTTTCCAAACCACTGGAGTTGTCTCGTTTGGATCCACTCTGTCATTATCTTATTGCTTTAGTTCGTATTGTCTCTAGCCTAGACACTATTCTTCTAAGTCAACTCATTTTTGCACTTGCTCTTTTATTTTGGTTGTTCATCGGATTTAATTGGTGCTTGCTACTGGCAGCCTGCAAGACTGTGTATGCGCCTTGAATGCGTTGAACGTGCGTGTACGCGTTTAGGGCCAGGAGGCTGGCTTACGCATGGAGTTGGAGCGAGCCCTACAGAGAACAGACAAATACATGAGGTGCGTTTTTGCGATATGCTGCAGACCGTCAATAGCCCTAATGTCGGAAATCCGAAATGTTTGTAAATCTGCATTGTAATTGCCTTTACTTGAGTGGCCAGCAGAGGGAGTAATAGCAGAATCTGAACTCTTCTAAAATCCAAACGACCCACAGTCCCATTTAGTGTGGATATTTTCGAGTTTGTTTCTGACAGGTTCGAGTCCTTCCTCGCTGGGTTGCTTGCGTGCTCACGATCTGCCGGTCTCTTTTTAACTCTGTCACTCTCTCCCTTTCCTTTACATCGACTTCCCTCATGTATCTTCCTGTCCCTTTCTGTCTTCCCTCAATCTCTCTCTCTCTGTCCACATTAGATGTTTATGTCGTGCGTATACCCTCACCAGCTGACTCACATTCTGTCTCTCTTTTACCAGCTCACTCTCACTTCATCCTCTTCCATTCATGCCCTGCACTCCCCTCCTCTCTCGCCCTCTCTCTTTGCCCCCTTATCCTGTACTATGACACTCTCACTCCTCCCCCTTCCCTCTCTCCCACTAGCCATCTCTCCAATCTCATTCTCTCCTCTCACATACATTATTATTTACTTTATTTTTTCGACATTTCTCCAAATCAATCCAGGTTGTGCTATCGGTGTCTTGTCATGTGACGACAAATCTATTTGTTAGAGAACGATCTACAGAGCTACCTCTCAGTTCCCCTGAAGTGAACTCTATTTTCCACAGTAAGGAGCCACATTTTCCCACTTGCTCTGCCACTGCAAGAAGTATTTCTGACATGACATTCAAACCAATAGTTTATGCCTCCAGCTGAAATTTGTCCAAATTAAGTGCAGAACCAACATTTAAAATGATTTGTTTTGTGCAGTCATTTTCCTTCCCCCGCATCTCCGATGAACACAGTTGGCTACCTACGATGCGAAAGAAGTTCAACACGCAGTGCATAAATGGTAGCAGGGCTGACACCATGAAGAAACTGTACTTGAGAACCTGCTTTAACCATAGGCGGTTGCGCAAATTCGAACCCAGGATCTCTGCTGTGCCAGCTCAGTGCTCTCACCTCTGAGTCACCCGTCTTTGGAGTAACTTCATGAACTCATGCATAGAGGCCCTGCTTCTATGTCTGCCCCACCTTTCCCTTACCCCACCCCCCCCCCCAAAGGCGATACAACGCTGGCCGCGTGTGCTGGCACACCCGCCTGCGCTGCGCCCGGGACGCCTTCCTGGGAGAGCTGTCAGCGCGGGACAAGGCTGTGGCCAACATCTCGCATGACCTGAAGCTGGCGCAGAGCTCAGCCAGCAAGGTCAGCGAGACTTCACCTCTCCAGAGATAGTTGCTTGGGTCTGTTTTACCAACCTTCTGTTAGCGAGACTCTGCATTGTCTCAGAGTGAACCTAGTAGGCTACATCATGGTTCAATTAAATGTCACACTTTGGGGGTTTGCGGTTCGATTCAAAACTTAAAATCTTTTCTGCCGTGGTGACGAATGTAGAATCTCTGTTGAATGCAGGGCTTACCCTGATGTAATAGCAGCATGTTCAAATTATAAATCGTAGATTTTTACACACAATTCGATGGGTTTATCTTGCCAAGAACGTAAGCAGGCACAGATGCCACAGTTACATTACACGGAGGTTATTTTCGGTGTGTGCCGTATGCGTGTTTTGGGAGTGGCGTTGTAGTGATTAGCGCACTGCACTTCAGTGGGGTGATCTGTATTCTTGTATCGCTGTACCACCTTTACTAGGCGCTTGCTAACAGCACCAGTCCCATATTCATATATAGGCTGAAAGGGAATTCCTTGTGTTGAGTGCACATATAATGCTCTATATGTGTGTGTGTGTCTACCATGGTCTGTGTGCTGCACCACAATCCCGATGACCTGCGTTTAAGTTCTCAACCATGAAGTCCGTCAGTGACAAATGGTATCTGAACTTGATGCAGCCCTCTCCCCTAGTTCACTTTGGACATCTGTACAAGGGTGGGGAAAGAGAGCTGGACATGCGTGGTTCTGGCCACACCCCACCCTTTTGTGTATTGGATCAGCATTTATATTGGCGAACTGACATCACTTGTCCTGCAAGTGGTTAATGCACTATGCCACGAACCCTTCAACCACATCAAATATCCCAAACACTTCCAACGTCGGTGGCGAATATCCGAATCGGTCCAGGGCCCTGAGGGTGACTCAGCCTAAAATGAATTCCATGGTGCGGTGTGTCAACATCAGCAGTGGGGACACAAACAAGGTGGGGAATGGTACTGGCTACGTGACACTGTCGTGCGCCATGTCGGCCTTCATAGGTGCTCGCTAACAACACTTGGCCTGTCTATGTAGGCTGCACGAGGCATCTGTGTGTGTGTGTGTATGGGAGTGTCCTAGCCACCCACGCCCTTGTGTGCTGTGTCGGCCTTCATAGGTGCTCGCTAACAACACTTGGCCTGTCTATGTAGGCTGCACGAGGCATCTGTGTGTGTGTGTATGTGTATGGGAGTGTCCTGGCCACCCACGTCCTCGTGTGCTGTGCCGGCCTTCATCCTGTGCTCGCTAACAGCACTTGTCTAACAGTCTGTTAAGGCTATAAAGTGTGATCTTTGTCTTTGTATAGGAACGAGCGTGGAGGGAGCGAGTGGTGCAGGAGCTTCACGTGTCTTTGGCGTCCGTACGTGACCTCACCCAAGAAGTCGCCGACCTAAAGTTCTCCTTGCGCGAGCAGACGAGGCTCACCCAGCACGCGCAGCACAGGCAACGGCACAACACACCGATACACACACCTCTAATCTTAGCTTTCATAGCGAGCACCTATGAAAGCCGACACTGCACACGAGGGGGTGGGTGGCCAACACCACGCCCAGCCGCCATTGTCTCCCCAGTGCTGATATTTTACACACCGCACCAGGTACTCAGTTGAGGCTGAGTCGACCTAGGGGAGGCCCAGGACCAGTTCAGATAATAGTCACTGATGTGGGGCGTGATCAGGAATCAAACTCAGGTCGCCTGGTTCGTAGCACAGTGCATTAACCACTACACTACCATTCCCCACTTACATACACACCCATACACCACCTCATATCTACACACACATTCCATACACTTACACAATCATTCACCACACACTCATACACAAAGATCCCCCGTGTATATACTTAACATACTTTTCGGGCAAGTGCTGTTTGTGAGCACCAAAGACACTCATACACACTAACAACGCCATATCCACATACACCTACCTATACAAATGAAAATGTATCCACCATTTAAAAGCTTTACAGTTACTCCCACAACCATTCAAGCATTAACCTGCTCACTTACACACCACAAAGGTATACACTCACAAATCCAGACATTTGCTCATGTTTATATTCAAGTTGTTGCCGAGTATTTGTGTTGTTTACATGTGTGTGCGTGTTTCATTTGCCTTGTGCACAGGGTTCAGCTTCTTGAAGAGGAAGGGGAACGATTGAGGAAGCTTCTTCTCGCGGAGCCTAGAATACACTAACACGTGGCACGCAGGCACACTCCGTCTCACTGACACACAAAGACAAAGATCCCCCGTGTAGCTTTAACAGACTGTAGGGGCAAGTGCTGTTAGCAAGCACCTATGAAGGCCGGAACGGTACACGAGGGGGTGGGTGGCCAGCACCACGCCTGACCGCCTTTGTCTCCCTAGTGGCAATGTTTACACACCACACCAGGTACTCATTTGAGGCTGAGTCGACCTAGGGGAGGCCCGGGACCGGTTCAGATAATCGTCATTGGTGTTGGCCGTGAGCGGGAATCGAACTCGGGTCGCCAGGTTCATAGCGCAGCGAGCTAACCGCTACACTATCGCTCCCCTCACTGACACACGCACACTCACTCACACACCAACACACACATACTCGCACAATTGTCTTTCACCACTAAGTGGTGGTGATGTCACCAAGGCGTTTGTGCCTGGTTAGGTGCAATATGTGGCCACGTGAAGTGTGGAAGGCTAGCTGACAGAGGGGGTCATGGGGAGAATCCAGGTATTATGGGTTAACTAATTGAGATTACTGGCAGATGCGCACCACTTGTGCCCTTCATTGTGTCAGTGGAGAGAGCAGGTGGGGCATTTGATCTTTGGGCAAGTGCTTTTAGGAAGCACCTAATAAGGCAGACACAGGGCATGACGGGGTAGTGTGATCAGCACCACACCCATTTGCCTTTATCTTGCCAGTGCTATTGTTTATGCACCACACCAAGTACTCATTTAGGGCTGGATTTACCTTGGGAAAGCCCGGGACCAGTTCCGACACACATGCACAAACTCTCACCCACTGATCCACACAATCACATGCAAAGACAATCATCGTACAGTTTAGGTTTAAGCTTTCGGAGTAAGTGCCTATACCAATGTCAGCGAGCACCTGTTAGGGATAGCATTCCAGACTAAATGGTGGCCTTTGCGTCTCCTGTGTTCATATTAATAGCCATATCTCCACTGCATGATGTACTGATTTTAGTCTGATTTTATCGAGGAGACAAGCCAGGTTCAGAAACCATTTTCAACATGCTGCTCTTGCCAGGAATTAAACCTAGGTCAGTGGGATTTGAGTGAATGAACCTTGTATTCCAAGGCCTTTGAAAGAGACTCCACTGTCTAAACATGTACCCACCCAGACACTTTTTTTTTTACAAAAGACAAACATTTATTGTCTCGTATCGTGAAATGTTAATGAACATGCTATAAGCAAGCACCTATAGGTACAGTTCACTACTGAATTCTGCATTCGACGTTCAGTCTGGTATATCAATACCGAATCTAACATTCCGAGACCTGCACTGCCCTTATTTTGCACACTCCACTGGGTAGTTACTTTGGATTAAAAAAAGCAATGTGTGTGATTGGTGATTGGAGAACACTCAAATGTCACTGCACGGTAAGGTGACACTTTTTCCACGGAACAAACCCGGACAAATATCTCAGCCTATTTCTGTTAAAATTGTGTAGTGTACTGTCATGAAGTTCAACACAATACCACAACATCCCGGTACAAATAAATCCTGCCACCTGAACACAAATGCTAGCTGGAACCTCGTTGCAGTCCTGCCTCCTACAGGGAATCACTGTGGGTGTCTCGTCATTACATGATCCACCAACCCCATCTCCAGTCCCATGCATTCCATGCGTGCGCCACAAAACTACACCCAGTGTATTTATGCTTTGTTATTTATGCATGGTTGCTGTTACGTACGTGTTGAACAATAACTTGTGTTTTGACCGTCGCATGTTCTTGCCACTCATTTTTCTTTCACATGTGAAGATTTTGCAAATATACGCACCCTGTGTGTGCCGTAGCTTCACGTTTATATTTTTGCTAAATAAATGTATTGTACACTATGTTGTGCGTATGCTTTCTTAAACTCTTAACAATGCAGTTACATTTCCATTGTGTATGTGTGTGGCATGTAAAATGGATTAAGCATGTAATAGTGTTTAAAATAATTACTATACAATGTGAAGTTACATGGCATTTCAATTTGACAATCGCAGCTTGTATCCAAGTTGTGCTAGCTAAGTTGTGTCGTGAACTGAATATGTTCAGAATATGTTCAGTTCACGACATACCGAAAGACCCAAAGAATATGAATATGTTGTTTTGGTATACCTAAAGTCAACAGCCTTACACCAAATCCCTTGGACTCAGATGTGATGCACTGCCATACAGCCGCCTAATACAACCTGATGTGTGGTCGCCCATCCAATTATAATCCAGGATTAACCATTATTGGCTTGAAGTTCTGGTACATTCTAGGTAATTTGATCATAATGATTTAAAGCCACTTAAAATAGACGGCTTAAACGCATGATTTCGAATGCGCTGGTTTCATATCTTCAAACAACACAGCCTCCTGACAGATACACCCATTCCCTGAGTTAAACCCATGACTTGAGCCAAGCTGGTTCGGTGCCTTGTCAACTCGCATGATCCTCCTGGGAGAGACATCTTCAGGGAATGGAACCCAAGATACCAATGGTACTCGACTCACCGAGTGACCTGACAGCCAATATGAACCACCCAGCCATTGAAAATGTACAAGATATACATAAGGACATATATACAATTATGTGAAATAGCTCATCAAAAAATGTTAGCACAACTTTTTTTAATAGAGTAATCCCATAATTAAATCTAATTTCATCCCATAAGGTACCTTATAAATGGTGCAATTGGCCAGGAAGTGTGCTACACTCAAACTTCAGCTTATACTCCATTACATAACATTCATAATTCACAGCCCTTTGTCAACCCACTGATGGATATAGGATTATAGGCCCTCCAATGCCGTGTGACTCGTGTTGTTTATTTGACTGTACACGTACTATATTGTTGGTTCTTTCGGTAAAGTCACATAGAAGGGAAACAAAAATAATATTTAAAAGAATATTTAAAAAAATAAAACAATAATATTTCATTGTTTCCCTTCTACGTGACTTTACCGAAAGAACCAAGAATATGAATCCCTGCAGTCACGAAAGCTTTAAATCAAAATTTATACACGTACTGTACGGTACTTTCAACATTGGTCAGTGTGGGTTTAGAGAAGGCAGTGCCAAGGATCGGTTCAGATATCAAGCGTCATTGATGTTAGCCATGGCCCTGGATTACATTTGGGATACACCGAATGTAATGCAGTGCGCTAATCACTGTGCAAGTGATTCCCTCTTAAATAACAAACTACTGTAAAATGTGCAACATTTATGCTAAGGAGTTTTTTTTTAAATGTAACTAGGCTCAATTTATTTTGCTACGATATAAAAAAAGAGTCAAACTGTCTCCCGGATCCTACGAGCAATCAGGTGGTGCTCATCTCCAGTCGGGTACCCCGTAGCCAATGGTTGAAATTCCACATTCCCATGGCAGTGGTAATCAATCTGACCATGAATCAAACACTGTTGGGTTGCCTCCCAACAAAGCAACACGTAGTTAATTGACCTGGGAGGGGTGATAGTAATGATGGGCTGATTCGATAACTTCCACTCTCACAATCCTCTGCGTCTGAGTCAGTGGACACGACTGATAAACCTGTAGAGCATGCAGGCAATGCAATGGAAGGACCCAGAAGCCAGGCTTAAAAGTGGAGGGTAAATTGGACTCATTGCAGACTTACATTTCTTGCACGAGGGACCGTGCCAAACAGCCTACGCCTCTGACCTGTATTGTGACCTGAGACAAGCCATCAGGATTGTTGGACAGGTCACACTCTCGATGAGACTCAGACAAATCGAAACCTGTCCAGAGTTTCCTTGCTAAAAAAAACCCCTCATATCTACGAGGCTGCACTCTACTGAAGAGGTGCAGATAATAAATAATATAAACCGGTCCAGCGTTTTGTGCTTCCGCAAATATTGGGGGGTTTCAGGCCACGCTGCTGAAGAAACTGAAGGTCGAAACTGGTCGAGACTGTTCTGATAAAGAGTGGTGGCGCTTGGCAGAAGCATGCCAAGCAAAACATCAACTCAAAATCACCTCCGAATAAACATGAGCATCATTAAGTTTAAAAAGTGACTTATTCTATGATCTCTTTCCTCTCTGCATCTCTTATCTCACAACTCGATGTTTGTGCACAATAACATCTATTCTAAGATCGAAACAGGAGTCTTTCCCCACAACTCTGGCTGCCGTCTGATGATGCTGCTTGTAATTACCGGCGAAACGTCGTACTCAAATTGTTAATGTTGTGAGTTTACTCCCCAATACACCGGTTGCTGAACTAGTAACGAATTGGCACGTGTTATTATTTACGTGACAAACCTTATTAATTGGCTGTTTCGGGTGGTGGTGGGTTTAATGACACACTTATATTTAAACGATATAACCCAAAAATCTATTTTGGATATATCTTCTGTTAGCTCACTCGGACTTTATACATTGCGATGGGGGTGCCCCCCTAAAAAATAATGTCTTCATTGAGCCCCCAATGGGCCAGCATTCCCACTGCTGCTCAGACTAATGCAGCTGGAAAACATTTGCGTGGAAAGCTTTTTCATAGGCTGGTGGACTAACCAACAACGCATTACATTCGTCAATAATACTGATGTAAAAGGGAAATAATATATGCAACATGCGACGTTTCGTGCAATGGCCCTTCTTCATAAAACCAAGGGCCATTGCCCGAAACATTGCCCTTTTTTCAAGGCATTGTGTTATTGACGAATGTGTTTAAAGTGTTTTGTGATCTATGCTCGTACACCACTGCCAATGCAGCAGCAGCATCATCAAATAATTTGGACTAACCAGCTCATTTTATAAATTGTGTGCGAGGAAACAAACACTTTTTACATCAGGATTACGGAAGTGTATAATTTTCAGCCGCATGAGTTCAACAAAAGCAAAACTCTGGGACAGATTTGAGCATTCACTGTATCACCAGCGGTGAGTCAGGCTGGCTAAAATCCATGATGGTGAACTGCCACCCAGTAAACATGGAACGTTGAGTCAATGTTGGGTCCAACAATTGGCCCAACAACGTTGGCACGTTTACTGGGGCAAATAGTTATCGACAAGGACCCTTCTCTCTGTTCGATGTTGGGGGTCATAGTTCGCGAAACTATCCTATCTGGAGGATGATAATTAACAATTGTAACCTAATTTTTTTTACGTATAATTATTTAT